ATATATATATGTATATTAAGACATGTCACTAGTGGCAGGTGTTCGGTCCATGCAGCAGCCAGAGCAAAAAGCTGAGACGATTACAGCCCTGACCCACGAGATAAGAATGTTCTGCATACAGTATCAGCTCCTCGAAGCTGCTGACCAAGAAGCGAAACAGACTTTGTCAGAGGAAAGTCTCTTATCGGGGACAGCATAACCTTTGAGACTGCTTGCAGTGCAGTGCATTGATTCAGCTTCCACGATGACCCGTCTATAGATTACTGCTGTCATAACTATTATCAATAGGAGCTCAGAACCTCCTCGCTGGCAGGACAGTCTCTAAGGTTGTAGGTCAACAACCTTCACTGCGGAGAAGGAAAAGTGTTTAAAATAGGTAAAAGTGTTGGAGGAATTATAAGTATTTCGACTGAATGAATAAATTATGAATGTTGAAACTGGAGCGAATGGGTGACGAGGTTATCAGATTACAAATTATTATCAAACAGATTATCATGTCATTTAAGGTGTTATCTGGGCTTCTTTTTCCAACAGTGAAGCAGCCAAATAAGCGTAATTTGATTTTGATTTAGCTGCTGTGTGACTTTATTAAGAAACAATAACCAGAGTGGCTTGTAAATGTTTTCACCCCTTTGACATTCTCTCTTTTTTCTTATATACAACCTAGAATTTATAAGGGTTCTCAATTGGGTTATAAGGCATGGGTTAACAGAAAATGCTTTATATTGATAAAGTTAAATAGGGTAAAATGTGAAAAAATTGTTATAAAATATAAAACTGAAAATGAATGAGTGCGTATGTATTTGCCCCCCTTGCTTTGAGTCCCTACTTGTCCAAAAGTCACGTCATTATTTAAATAAGATCCCTCTATGGACAACTAAGTGTCACATGATCTCAGAGTATACATCCATGTTCTGATATAGCCTTTAAAATCAATCAACACTTTTAAGTAACCACTCTTTCTCAAGTCTCATATCAACCAATTAGGACATAAACATCTAAATTTCTTTAACAATAACACCTCTGAACAACAAAACATATTGCTTTTTTTATTCTTGCACAATTCTTTATATTATATTTTATTATTAGTTGTATCATGGCTAGTCAGTGTTAATTTTTGTTTTGTGTGTACTAGTTTGTAAAGTAAC